TCCTGCTGCTAAGGCTTTGATTTATGGAAAGTGTTTTCAGAATGTTGCAAAATTGCTAGCAGGCATGATGATATCAGTTAAATCACTAAGAAGCTCTACAAAAACCTTTTAATGTATGAGATGTTCCCCAGACAATCTAGGATAAACAGAATATTGTATTTTAGGATGTAAAACATTTTTTTTTTAAGGCAGATAATTAAGTAGCATTTGGCACTAAAAGATACTCCTACTTAATGAATTAAGTAAGGATCTGGATTGCATTTTGAATTCCTAATATCAAAAGTGCTGCTTTCTTTAGAAGAAATCTGGTGCTTTCTGTGCATGAAATCATGCAAAAGTTGTTGGGTAATAATATATATTTCTGCTATAGTTTTGTAATAGTTCACTGTTTCATGTAAAATAGTGCTCATTGTTTGGGTACATCAGATAAACATTCTATTTGTAATAAAGATGTTCTCCAGGCTCTTTATTTCTTCAAATAATTAAGGCAACCCTAGCAGCATTAAAACAGAATATTATTATAAATATTAAAGTTCAGCGATTAGCCATGGAAAGAAGCTTTGCTTTTTTACATATTTATTATGTACTTAGGATTTGATCATAAAAGGTACTCGGATCCTTTGTGAGGGACTGAGAGCTCTCAGTTCACTTTGAAGAAAGGTAATACTCAGCCTGTTGCAGGCTCAGGACTTAACAATTAAATAAACAGCATCAGATAATAAAATCAAAAGTTATTTTAGAGATTAGAAAAGCTCTTTGTGATACACTGCTTGATTGAAAGTAGTGATATTTGCAATTGACAGACAAACAGATTTAATGTCAGCATCACTTGTACCGAGAACCAATGGGAGATTTGAGGAAAACGTATAAAGTTGTGATAATAATCAGACAAAAAGTGTAATTATACAGGGGGCTTCAGCAGTGAAGTATGCTAAGGCTTATTGGTTAAATCACTGCTACCCATCAAGTTAAATATATATCAGTTTCATTAATTGGCAACCACAAGACAAGTGTTCTATATT